GTGCAAACATTGAAAAATGGTTGGAAGAATTTGCTTGACGATAAAGATACAGACTTGGGTTTAAAAGGGCTAGAGGGCCCTAGCTGGTTTGGCTCAGTGGGTAGAGCATTGGCCTGCGGACGGAATGGTCTTGGGCTCAATTCCAGTCAAGGGCACATGCCCTGGTTGTTGGCTCGATCCTCAGTAGTGGGTGTGTAGGAGGCAGCCGATCAATCATTCATGTTTCTAGCTCTTTCTTCCTCTCTGAAATCAATAAAAATATACTTAAAAATAATAATAGCCCTAACCGGTTTGGCTCCGTGGATAGAGCTTCAGCCTGTGGACTGAAGGGTCCCCAGTTCCATTCCGGTCAAGGGCATGTACCTTGGTTGCAGGCACATCCCTAGTTGGGGGTGTACGGGAGGCAGTTGATCAATGTTTCTCTCTTATCGATGTTTCTAACTCTCTATCCTTCTCCTTTCCTCTCTGTAAAAAAATCAATAAAATATATTTTAAAAATAATAAAAAATAAAATGGCTAGAGGTTACTGACTGCTGTAGGACAATACAGAATATTGGTGAAGAAGAAGCCAACCGTTTTACAGTGGTTAGAATGACCCTGGGCATCACAGCATGATGAAAGTGAAATAGCAGATGAGGTTATATCTTAGAAGATGAGGATGGAAGATGAGGAAAAAGAAACAACACACCCAAAAATAAAGTTATCAGTGACTAGATAACATCTCAACAATCTAATAACATTTATTGACAATTCATCTGATAACAAAATTCAGTTTTATTACACCCTTTTATCTCATTAATCCTCACCCGAGGATATTTTTCCCATTGATTTTTTTTTTCTAGAGAGACTGTAAGGGAAGAAAGAGGAGTAACCTGTAACCCTGAGAATCTAACCCATAACCCCTTGCTTCAAGGGCCAATGCTCTAACCACTAAGCACACCAGCAGGACTATTACACACACTTTTGTAACTTTAGGGAGTTAATTACTTTAAAAAACCAGGAGACTAAAAAAGTTCAAATAAAACTTGATAGTTTTTTCAAAGCATGATTACCTAAAGCAAGTGCTTTGACATTGAACATAAATGTCGCACCACCATGGGAATGTCTGGATATATCATCATCCAAAGACAATTAAATAGTAAAATATGTTTGCTTTTACTAATATAAAATTTAAATTTTGTTTTGTTTTTAAGAACATTACTTATTTAGTTAAATAAAGTGTACATTCAGAAAAAAATGTTTATTTCTACTTAGACTGCATACTTATTAGAGTCTCAAAACTACAGTGGGTATATAGCAATAATGCATACAGAAAACTTTTGTGAAATTAAACTTTTCATATAATTTTAAATATTGTTGCAAGTGTTACATATGTCCCCTTTTTTTCACCAATGACCCCCTGGAGCCCCCACCCCCTGCCTTCACCACCCTATTGTCTGTGTCCATGGGTTATGCATATATGCATACAAGTCCTTTGGTTGATTACCTCTCACCCACCCACCCTCCCACCACCTTCCTGCCAAGTTTCCACACTTTGTTTCATGCTTCCATGTCTCTGGATCCACTCTGTTCATCAGTTTACTTGTTACTTAGATTCCAAGTATGAGTGAGATCATGTAATATTTATCCTTCTATGACTGACTTATTTCACTTACCATGATACTCTCCAGGTCCCTCCATGCTGTCTGAAAGGGTAAGAGATTCTTTTTTTATGCTGCATAGTATTCCTTCATATAAATGTTCCACAGCTTTTTTATCCACTCATCTTCCGATTAGTCCATTATGTTGGTTTTACAGCATAAGGTTTCTCTTAAGTATGAGTTCACTGATGTAAAGTGAGATCGCTCTTCATAGTGAAGCCTTTTCTATACCCATTACACACATAGGGCTCCCCTCCTATATATTTTTTGCTGATGTCTGATGAGATGACTCTTCGCTGTAAAACCTTTCCCGCATTCACTACATACATAAGGTCTCTCTCCTGTATGAAACCGTTGATGTAAAATCAGCTGCATCTTTCTTGAGAAGCCTTTTCCACATTCACTGCATACATGGGGTTTCTCTCTCCTGTGTGAGTTCGCTGATGTAAAATCAAAGAACTCTTCACAGTAAAGCCTTTCCCACATTGATTGCAAGTATATGGTTTCTCTAAAGTATGAATTCGCTGATGCACAGTGAGACTACTCTTAACGGTGAAGCCTTTTCCACATATACTACATACAAAGGGTTTCTCCCCTGTATGTGTTAGCTGATGTTTGATGAGAAAACCCTTCCTGGTGAAGTCTTTCCCACACTCATTACATATGTAGGGTTTCTCTCCTGTATGAGTTCGCTGATGTGTGGTGAGATGGTTCATCGTGGTGAAGCCTTTCCCACACTCATTACACATATATGGTTTCTCTCTTGTATGAGACCGCTGATGTAAAAGCAGCTGCATCTTCGCTGGAAAACCTTTTCCACATTCACTACATACATAGGTTTTCTCTCCTGTGTGAGTTCGCTGATGTAAAATCAGAGAACGTTTCACAGTGAATCCTTTCCCACATTCACTGCACACATAGGGTTTTTCCCCTGTGTGAATTCGCTGATGTAAAATCAGAGAACTATTCACAGGAAAGCCTTTCCCACATTCACTACATACATAGGGTTTTTCTCCTGTGTGAGTTCGTTGATGTAAAATCAGAGAACTGTTCACAGTGAAGCCTTTCCCACATTCATTGCACATATACGGTTTCTCTAAAGTATGAATTCGCTGATGTACATTGAGATTACCCTTCATGGTGAAGCCTTTTCCACATACATTACATACATATGGCTTCTCCCCTGTATGTGTTCGCTGATGTTCAAAGAGAAGGCTCTTTCTGCTGAAGCCTTTCTTACACTCATTACATATGTAAGGTTTCTCTCCTGTATGAGTTTGCTGATGTCTGGTAAGACTGTTCATCAAGGCAAAGTCTTTGCCACACTCATTACATATATATGGTTTCTCTCCTGTATGAGTTCGATGATGTTCAACAAGGTGACACTTCTGGATGAAGCCTTTTCCACATTCACTGCATATATAAGGTTTCTCTCTTGTATGAATTTTCTCATGTTTACTGAGATTAGACTTTGTAGAGAAGGTCTTCCCACATAGACTGCATCCATGGGGTTTCTCTCCTGTATGAGTTTGCTGATGTATGGTAAGAGTGTACATAACAGCAAAGCCTTTCCCACACACGTTACATAAATACGGTTTCTCTCCTGTATGAGTTCGATAATGTGCAATAAAACGACACTTCTGGATGAAGCCCTTTCCACATTCATTGCATATATAAGGTCTTTCTCTTACATGAGTTTTTTCATGTTTCTTCAGATTAGACTTTGTAGAGAAGGTCTTGCCACACAGACTGCATTCATGAGGTCTCGCTCCTGTATGAGTCTGCTGATGATAAATGAGGTGCCTCTTTTTGAACACTTTCCCACATTCACCACAAATATAAGGCTTCTCGCTCATCTGAGTTTTCTGATGTATACTGAGCTGTGATTTCTTGAGGAATGTTTCGTCACATTCAGTGCATTCATACTGTTTCAGTCTTGTATGAATTCTGTGATGTTCAGTGAGCCTGGATTTTCTGGAGAAGGCTTTTCCACACAGACTGCATCCATAAGATTTCTCTCTAATATGATCTCTCTGATGCTGAATGAGCTGAGATATCTTGATGAAGGCTTTCCCACATTCAATACATACGTGGGCTTTCTCTAGGTCGTGAGTTCTCTGTTGCTTTATAACCTGGGCATTGTTATTGATGTTTTTCATATTGACAGGAAATTTAATTTCAGTGTCAAATTGTTCATGGTTGCCAAGAATGCCTGTCCCATCTCCATTCAACTCAACAGAATTAGTTAAGTTACAGCTTCTGTTTTGGTTTTCAAAACATACATTTGATTTTAAAGGTTTCTCACAAATCTCAAACATATCATGATTTTGCTTTAATAGGAAATGACCTTCACTTTGGTTAACATTTGTAGATATATTATGTTCACAGCATTGTTCCACACTATTCTGAAGGCTTCGATTTTGCAAGTGATAATGCAGAGGATCGTCAACTTGCTTGAGCTCTAGGGAAAAAGGAGAACAGTAAATTCTGTAATCTCTCATAATCTTAGTTTGAAATAAAACTTTTAATAAAATGCTTTCTTTTTTTTTTTAAATATATTTTATTGATTTTTTACAGAGAGGACAGGAGAGAGATAGACTCTGTTAGAAACATCGATGAGAGAGAAACATCGATCAGCCGCCTCCTGCACATCTCCTACTGGGGATGTGCCCGCAACCAAGGTACATGCCCTTGACCGGAATCGAACCTGGGACCTTTCAGTCCGCAGGCCGACGCTCTATCCCCTGAGCCAAACCGGTTTCGGCTTAATAAAATGCTTTCATGTGAGTAACTATTTAGTGGCAATTCTATGTGTTGTAGAATAAGAAATATATTTGCTCTTGCCGGAGACCAGTTCCAGCATGTCATAATTTCAAGAGTTTCATCAAAAGGTTGATGAGACCTGGGGACTCAACAGGGTTGAGTCACACATGTAGTCACCTGTTGGGAATGGCTAAAGGCATTTCCCCAAACCTGAATAGGAAACTGATTGTGGCTGCCAGACAGTTAAAAGGCATCTTAATCTACATGTTATTGCCTCCTACTGGCCAAATACCTGAACAGTCGTAGGCTAATTCTTCCATTCTAACAATGGACTCTGTACAAATCCCTGACCCTTTGAAGTGTATATCTCTGCCTCACCTCAGGACAAATTGTGTTAATAAAAAGCATGGGGTCCTGGGGACCGAGAGAACCTAAGAAAGAACCTAAGACCTTAGACCTAAGATCTTGGATCTTAGCTCCTTTAGCTAAGCTCCTCTGACCCCCAATGCCTTTCAAAATTATATCTCGTCTCCGGACTCTTTATTAGTCTCTGGATTCCTATTAAATCTACACACAGCCTTCTCCAGATTCCTGAACCCTTCTTGATGCTGGGACAAGAACCCCGGCAGCTCTTTGTCCACAGTTCTTGACACTGCTTATAAAACCCTTGTAATTTCCTAAGTGATATGAGTATCTTTTATTATATATTTTTTAAAAAGCCTTCCAGCCCTAGCTGGTTTTGCTTAGTGGTGAGAGCATCAACCTGCCAACTTAAGGGTTGCAGGTTTGATTCTGATCAAGGGCATGGGTACTTTGGTTGCAGGCTCAATCCCTAGCCCTGGTCAGGGCACATGCAGGAGACAGCCAATGAATGTGTCTCTCTCAAATCGATATTTCTCTCTGTCTCTACCCTTCCCTTACTCTCTCTCAAAAAATTAATGGAATAAGTATCCTTGGGTGA